GTTGTACTGATTAGAAACTTTTTTATTTGTATTTTTCAAAGACAGGTAGCATCCAAAGTGCAATTTATAGTGTAGCAGGTATTCAGGAAGCAGTGCATGTGAGTGAAAATATGGGTGATGCACTAAATGAAGTGCAGCACAGGGGTGGTGTACCCGCTTCTTCTCCCAAGAGGGACATTGCATTGTTTGAAGGAGACAAGGATTTTGAGCCGCACAATGGCATTGAATTTGAATCCCATGAAGCAGCATATTTATTTTATCAGGAATATGCCAAATCTATGGGATTCACTACTTCAATAAAAAACAGCAGACGCTCAAAGAAAACAAAAGAATTTATTGATGCCAAATTTGCATGCTCTAGGTATGGAGTTACGCCTGAGTCTGACAGTGGCAGCAGTCGAAGACCAAGTGTAAAGAAAACAGATTGCAAAGCTTGCATGCACGTGAAGAGAAAGCCAGATGGAAAATGGATCATTCACGAATTTATAAAGGAACATAATCATGAACTTTTACCAGCTTTGGCATATCATTTTCGGATTCATAGAAATGTGAAATTAGCTGAAAAGAATAATATTGATATCTTGAATGCTGTTAGTGAACGCACCAGAAAGATGTATGTTGAAATGTCAAGGCAATCTGGAGGCTGTCAAAACATCGGGTCTTTTGTGAGTGATATAAACTATCAGTTTGACAGAGGCCAGTATCTGGCTTTGGAAGAGGGAGATGCCCAAATTATGCTTGAGTATTTTAAGCATGTGCAAAAGGAGAGTCCCAACTTCTTCTATTATATAGATTTAAATGAAGAACAGCGGTTAAGAAATCTATTTTGGATTGATGCAAAAAGTATCAACGATTATCTTAGCTTTAATGATGTAGTTTCATTTGATACCACTTACATAAAAAGCAATGACAAGTTGCCGTTTGCACCTTTTGTTGGAGTGAACCATCACTCTCAGCCTATTTTGCTTGGATGTGCATTGGTTGCTGATGAGAGTAAACCAACATTTGTTTGGTTAATGAAGACATGGCTTAGAGCTATGGGTGGGCAAGCTCCCAAGGTTATAATCACTGATCAAGACAAAGCCTTGAAGGCAGCAATTGAAGAAGTCTTTCCGAATGTACGTCATTGTTTTTCTCTTTGCCACATACTAGAGAGGATACCAGAAAATCTCTCTTTTGTGATCAAACAACACAACAACTTCTTACAAAAATTTAATAAGTGCATTTTTAAATCGACAGAGGACCAGTTTGACATGAGATGGTGGAAAATGGTCAGCATATATGAACTCCAAGATGATGTTTGGTTTCAGTCATTGTATGAGGACCGGAAAAAGTGGGTGCCGACTTACATGGGGGATACCTTTTTAGCTGGAATGTCTACACCTCAGCGCTCTGAAAGTACGAGCTCTTTCTTTGACAAATATATTCATAAGAAAATTACCCTCAAGGAGTTTGTAAAACAGTATGGGATAATTCTGCAAAATAGGTATGATGAAGAAGCCATTGCGGATTTTGAATCATTGCACAAGCAGCCAGCACTTAAATCTCCTTCACCTTGGGAAAAGCAAATGTCAACAATTTATGCACATGCAATATTTAAGAAATTTCAAGTTGAAGTTCTGGGTGTAGCTGGTTGTCAATCTAGGATAGAGGTTGGAGATGGAACTCTTGCAAAGTTCATAGTTCAAGATTATGAGAAGGATGAAGAGTTTTTGGTAACTTGGAATGAAATGAGCTCAGAGGTCTCCTGCTTTTGTCGATTGTTTGAATATAAAGGTTTCCTCTGCAGGCATGCTTTGAGTGTTCTCCAACGTTGTGGTTGTTCAAGTGTTCCATCTCATTATATCTTGAAGAGGTGGACGAAAGATGCCAAAATTAAGGAATCAATGGCTGATAGGACAAGAAGGATACAAACTAGGGTGCAGCGTTATAATGACTTGTGTAAACGAGCCATCGATTTAAGTGAAGAAGGATCATTATCTGAAGAGAATTACAATGTTGTTTTTCGTGCACTTGTTGACGCCTTGAAGAACTGTGTATTGGTGAATAATTGTAACAACAACGGTGCAGAAACTAGCAACAATGCCTATGGTCTTCGTGAAGCAGAAGAAAATCAGGGTCCTCTTGCTTTGAAACCAAATAAAAAGAGGAACGCAGCTAGGAAAAGAAAGGTGCGTTCTGATTTTTGTGGCTGATTTGCATATAAGTTATTTTGGCTTTTGTGAAGATCAGGAAATTGATTTGAAAATCTCTTTTATAGGCACAATTAGAGCAGGATGTTATACTTGTTAATGCTCAAGATAGCCTGCAGCAAATGGTTTGTGTTACCTACATTACAATCATGATCTATTTTAGTTTTTAAAAATCTAGAGTGCATTTGATAAGTTGAAAATTGTTAAGCTTCTTGTAACTCATGCTTTCGTTCTTTTAGGATAATCTCAGCTCGGATGCAATGACCCTTAATGGATATTATGGTACCCAGCAGAATGTGCAAGGACTGGTATGTTATACTTGTCTGTGAATAAATGATTACATATATATCCTGTACTTTAAGAGTCAATGCCATGATTAATAATTTTGGTTTTTGTAGCAGGTACAATTGAACTTAATGGAGCCGCCTCATGATGGCTACTATGTTAATCAACAGGGCATGCAAGGCCTGGTAAATTGTCCCAATGATGATTATATTTTGCAGATACGAGTTTGTCATATATAATTGTATTTTAACAGAATTATAAATTGATATTCGGATCTTCGTAGGGTCCTTTGAATTCCATGGCTCCAAGCCATGATGGGTTTTTTGGAACACAGCAAGGAATTCATGGGCTGGTAGTGTACTTTTTTTTAATGCAATGTTGGGAAGTCAGATTATTTAATTAACTTCATGATGAAAGTTGGCTAATTTTTGTTGGATCGTGTAGGGAGGGCAATTGGAATTTCGTCCATCAACTACTTTTGGATATAGCCTTCAGGTTTGCGTACGAAATAGTCCATATACATACAGTACCATCTCCTTAGACTTGGAATAAAATAATTTATGCTTTGTTTTCACTGTCTTCATCACATAACCTTGATTGCAGGATGAACCTGATCCCCAGTTTCATGGCAACAGTTCAAGAAATACTTAGATTTTTTTCTCTTCACTGAGATGATAGTTTCCTTAGAGGCCATCAAGTTTCTATGTGGTGACTGAAAAGACGATTGAAGGAAAATGGGCACTTCGTTGTCTTGATACAACAGTCTGTACATAGTTGCTTTAACTACATTTACAACTGAAATTTTTGTTCACCTCACATCTTGACAACATTTCAGCATCCTGTATTGTACATTGAAGTTGCCCATATGAGCTCCAAAGTCTGTCTCCACTTCTTTTTCCTTCATTGTGGTGGACACCTCACAATGAATATATGAATGAGTAAAAAAATCTTGCTTTCTGCCTTGTCTTTGTTTATGGTGGCACAGAAGTGAGGAATCAACTGTTCTCAAATTGGAATGAGAGGATGTCACGAAATCCCGTGCTAGTATGATGGGAAAGAAGATATTCAGTTTTACATGTGAGGTGTGGCTTGTGATCGGAACAATTACTTTTCATGATAACCAGAAGGTGTCCATTAGAACGATCTGTATAATCAGTTATACGTTTATATAGTGAACTTTTATATCATAGCTTACTACTACAAGATCCTTTTCTGAATATCGTTCTAACTGTTGTAGTATTCATGTTGTATTTGTGGTGAGTGGGATATTAGTGTTAAAAGTTTCTGCATTCTCCACCCTCTATTTTTAACCCTTCGAGAGAAAAGCTTTACGAGTTCCCTTGTATATAGTAGAACGATTTTGTTATTTGTTCATCCGCATTGGAACCATGTTAATACAGGAGAACTGATTCATGTTAATATGGTTTATGTTTTGGAGGGATTTCGTATAGTTTAGGTGAAATGTGTGTCCAAAAATATAAACCAAATGTGAACAAACAAATAAATGTAAATGTATTCGAGCTACCATTGCTTTATTACTAATAAAATTATCTATTGAAATATGTAAGTGATTAAAACTTACTATCTTAACAAATTTAATTAATAGAATCTTATTTTTAATCACGATTTTTTAATATTAATTAAAATAATTAAATTTTTTTAATAGAGAATTAATTAAGGAAAAATAGATATTAAGTACGAAAAGTTATAAAATGTGTATATAATAACTAAGTAAACAAATTGTTTTATTTAAAAATAAATGAAGAAATAAATAATTACATTGAAAAGTTGCACTTGCACCTAACCAATTATTGTTCACAATTAATATACAAATTATTGTTCAAGCAAATATGACACCTTGATAATTGAGTAATACTGTGTATTTCTCTTAAAACCACTAACCATTGCTGTAAGTGGCCATGAATTTATATATGCAATAAATTTGCTTTCGTTTCTAAGCAGGAATAAAATAAATGCAATGTTTTTTTCTTCTTTAAAGTTTCTCCAACCATCAATTCGATTTTCCACGTCAGCCAAATTCTTAAAAGAAAGTTTATGAAATAAAAAATAATGCATAATTAGATTGGCCTATTTAAAGTAATATATAATGAGATTTTGTCATTTTATATAAAAAATCATTGTATAAACCTGTGTGATGTGAAAAAAAAAAGAATGAGATAAGGTATGATAAAGTGAAAGTGAAACTACAATAGGGAAATCCATTCCATGTTGATGTGTGATGTGCTTTTTTAAATTTCAAATTTTAAAACACATAAAATTAATATAAATATTAAATTTCGACTTATTGAGGTAAAATAAAGTAATAGAAAAAGGAGAATTTTTTTTTTGCTTGTGTTTCCTTAAAGATATTGCACAGTATGATCTAGGAATATAATATTCAAGTTAATTTAAATACAAATATGTGGAATAATTGTAAAAATAGAAAAGGAAAATAATTAATAATTTAAGTGGCCGTTATAAATCAAGGCAACGGCTAGTTTTCCATGTGCCACTTTGTGAAGTAAAAGGAGGGTTTCGTTACGCGAAAACTAAACTTACTTCATCTTATTCTTTGTTTAGTCGAATCTGAAGCTGAGAAGTTCCGTGAATCTGAGAGTGAAAGTAAAGACAAAACAGTGGTGTTGAAGACATCGGATGTAATGGACGTTGGGTGCAACTCTGGGTCAGAGAATCACTCCCCCAATGCCTCTGCTCCTCCTCTTAATTCTCCTACCGCCACCGTCAATTCCAAGATCGGAAAGGTAAGTTTTCCATCTTTATGTTCAAAACGTTTTTCGTCTTCCATTTCGCCAGGCAAATCAGTTGTCTTTTGTCTTTTTTAATTTTCTACATTCTTTGTTTCTGATTGGTGTTTACTGATTCAAATCATTAACCTGGTTGAGCCACTGATCCAATGCTAGTTCTTTGAGAAACCCTAGTAACAGGGAGGGTCGTAGAATTACCTCATATCCAGGTGGAAACTAACAATTTAGACTCCAGTAATTCCAGAGATGAGTGTTGTTCTAGAACTGATCTTAATGAGGAGTTTCTTTTATCCAGTATCATGTTTGAAATTGGTATAGTTAAGATGATCTGAAGGAACAAACCCTAGGGTCTGAAAATATCTAGCAAATTCATGTAACAAACGACAATTGCATCAACCAGGATAATTTAAGTGCCTAGTTGGATACGTGTTGCATTATCCTAACTCACGTTTAAATTTCAGGTAACTTGATTTTGGATCCACAATTGATTTGATTTTTTTGTTAAAACAACTTTAGACAGCTTCTTGAATTGAATATATATACACACACACACACACTATCATCGAATAATTTGATAATTCAGGCTGATTATGACATTATTTTCTAGAAGAATTCAATAAATAATTTTCATGTTTTGCAGCTCTATTTATTTATTTGTTTTTTTATCTGTTTGTAATTTAAATAAATTGTTTAGCTGAGTCTATAACAACTCCGTTTTCTTTTACTGAATGGTGCAGAATAAATTGAGCAGGGAGTCTGGTCAATCTACATCAAGTGCTCTTAACAAGTGCAAATCACAAATTAGAAAGCCTCCTCGTCGTAAAACCTCGCCTGTTAACTGGTTCCCACGCAAAAAAGGGGATACCTACATGAATAGGAAAATTAAGATGCTTCAGGTTTTGCCGTAAACACATATATTTGTTACTATTAGTATTTCGTTTATTATTACTGAATTGCAATGCTAACACACACTTGACCTTTCCAGGAAGTAGATGGTATAAATTTGACGCTTGATCAGACGCTAGGCAGTTCTAACCCACATTATTCAAGAGTGCTGAGGGAGAAAATGGCAGCTAGAGAAGCGGCGCATAAGGCAATGGAGACCCGAAGAGCTGCATTAGTCGAAGCCTCTTGGTGTCGTATTTTACGTTCTGCCAGGTAAAATTTTTCTGCAAGCTGTACTTAGCGTTGTTGAATTCTAATTTGTATATTGTATTTTATGTGGTTCCAGGTAAAGTTTTCTGGAAACAGCCATGGTGAGCATTGTCGATTTCTAATTTGTATATTGGATTTAAAGTCTGTTTTTGGTATTGTTGTTTTCAGGATTCCTAGTGATGATGCCGAGGCTCAACTCTTAAAGGCAGAAAAAAGTGCGGAAGAAGCTTTTGGGACAGCCCAGGCTATGGGTGTTATTATGTTTGACTTGCCAAACTGCCCTAGGAAGCTTTGCCAAACAGAGACATCCTCAGTTCATGGAGAAGGATCATATACCCATGGTGTTACTGCATCTTTTGAAACTGCCTTTGAGGTGGACAGAGAAGTGGCTGCCGCAGTCAAAACTGCATTTATTAGGCTTGCAAAGTGCACTTCATTTAGTAAAGGTGAATTCAAAGAATTGTTAAGAAAAATTAGTGAAAACCCAGATACGGGTGAAAGTAATCAGGACCTGACTGAATTCTGTTCAGAGTATAAATCTGAGTCCGGGACAGAGTTTGATTCAGCCTCTCAAAAGAGTGACTTCAACTCCCAAGAGTTAGATTCCGAGATACCTTTTCTTGGGAAAAGCAGGGGGAGGAGGAGACAGTCTATTGAGAACAGAATAAAACTTGTGGATATGATGATTGAGAGGTTAAAATGTTTTCAAGAAGATGAACTTTCTTCCCTCGCCACTATAGTTGCAACTTATGGTTTGAATGCTTCCTTGGCTGAAGTGCAGAATGCCAAACTGCATAATCTAGACTCTTCAACTGAGTATTCATCCTCTTCAGCGACTAATTTTCCTGCGAGAAGAATGTCATCGTTGGGATTGGGAAAGTTAGCCTTGGATGTGACGAGAAAGAAGCAAGTTGAGCCAGAAGTACCAAGCCTGGATAAGTTTTTAGTTAAGCACGTGACAAAACTTGAAAGAGAGGTTTGGGAAGCCAAACAGACCCGAAAGACAAAGACAGAACCAGTCAGGGATAGCTCTCGTAAATCTGTTGATGAAACTCCACCAGAGAATGTACCTGATTTGGGAAGTATTCTAGTGAAGAATTATTCAAAATTAGAGAAAGACATCAAGGAGGCAAAAATTAAGTCCGGAAAGGAGATGCCAGCAGTTTCAAGCGACATGACAAACAGGCCAAAGGATCACATAGAAGTACCAAGCTTAGATATGGTCTTAGTGAAACATGTCTCAAGACTTGAAAAGGAGGTCCAAGAAGCAAAAAACAGAAGAATCAATGAGAATAACAGTTTGAAGAAAGAAGTTTATCCAGATACATCAGGTGAACTGGATTCAACTTTCTATTCTGATGAAGCATTGGATAGGAAAGAAAACATAAATTCGAACATAGGGTCCAAATCAGGGGAAAACAAAGATGGGTTGGAGAAAATACGGGCAAGGCCAGTGCACAGATTGGAAAGAGAGAAGCTGCATGCGTTGTCATTGGGAAGCCGTGAAAACTACAAACAAAGAATGAATCATGAGGCAACGAATGTTCCAGAATATGAGAGCTTGGATAAAGTTTTAGTAAAGCACGTCTCTATACTAGAGAAGGAGAAAATGAGGAGCAATCTGGAGGAAGAATGGGGCCAAGTTAAGAGAAGCCACAGAAACATCCATTTAGAAACAAATGAAGGCGGTCTGGATCAGGTCTTGGTTAAGCATAAATCCAGACTGGAGCAAGAAAAGATGGTTGCTGCACAGCAGCCAGAGACCACCTCAGTTAGTCGTTCAATGACTCGTCGTGAAGCAAAGGAGAGAGAGTTGCAAGAAACGTGGGGAGGATTGAGCTTAGGAAACGTCCATTTGGAAACAAATGAAGGTGGTCTGAACCAAGTGTCGGTAAAAAATAAATCCAGACTTGAGGGAGAAAAGATGGTTGCTGCTGAGCGGTCAGAGAACTCGGTAAGTCTTTCAGTGTCTCGTCGTGAAGCAAGGGAGAGAGAGTTGCAAGAAGCTTGGGGAGGACTGAGCCTAGGAAACTCCATTAAAACTCGTGTCTCTAAGCTTGAACGCGAAAAGGTTAGTCCTATCTAGCATGTCTAATTTAGCTGTTGGAACTTCAAAAGCTTTTCCCAAAACCAACTTGCTATCATTGAGTGGTGTAACTCTAAATTCCTTTCATGCTTTTTTCTTCTACATTGACAGTTGCAAAAAGTTATTGACTCTGTACAATCTGCTTTGCTTGGTAATTTTTAGGCTGCCTGGATTAAAGCCGAAGAGGAGGAACGGAAGCAAGCAATGAAAGCACTTTGATTGCAATATCTCGTACAATTCATTCATTCATCCTTGTTGATAAAAATGTGCTAATACTGTATTTTGGCTATTGTGCTTCAGCTTCTGACAAATTGTCCATCTCATAGACGTCCGTTTTGATTTCATCCTTGCATTAACAGAGAAGTCAGCAAAATTATAAAAATGTGAGCAACTTAGTCAATATTTCGGCCCGGGATATATTTCAGCCAGCATATGAGACTGTCAGCACGTTATAAGCTCTCCATAAATTTGTATCAAATGGTAGCCATTGATGTAAACAAAAGATGATAAACTACATATGTAAATGATAAATTCAGACATTACACTTTAATAATTATTTCGCGTTTTAAAATAGTAACAGATTTTGGAAGTCTGTACTTTATTTAGTAATGGCAATGCAGAAAAATATCATTTTTATGGATAGTTAGTATCTTAGTTTAAAACAACACAATTATTTAAAAAGGAGCCAACTAAAAGTATATTTTGAATTTTTACAACTCTGAGATCAATGGAAAGCAGAAAATGAAAAAAAAAATGAACTTTGTTGTCTATCTTTTTCTTGAAAAGTTTACTATTTTAATATAATTTCTTCAAAAAAGATTATAAATATTATAAATTTGAGTTAATTTTACTTAAGAAACACGATTCCAACATTTTAATACAAGACCTCTCTTTGATATATACGATATTTCCCTCCACCACCACACCTTTCTCCCTCCACTTCCCATTTACTATTTTGTCCCTAAGTAAAATTTTATTTTTAGGGTTATTTTTTAATTTTACCCATTCACAACCTATTCCTCTAATAACCTATTCTAGTGCCCCATTCATGAGTAAAATACTTTTCTTTCATTTTAACATTATATTTCTTTCTCTCTTTCTTTCGTCGCTGTGAGATACTACAAGTTGCAAAGGTTGGTGGTGGTGGAAAGAATTATCAAGCAGTGTCACTCTCGTGGTGCAGTGTGTGGAGGTGGTGCAGTGTGTGGAGTGGTGCAGTGCGTGTGTTGCTTCCTCAAAGTGCGTAAACCTTCAAATAAAACCCTAAAATAAAAAACGTAACCTTTAAGACATCCTTCAACGGATGTCAAAATCCTTCAACGGATGTCAAAATCCTTCAACGGATCTCAACATCCTTCAACGGATGTTAACATCCGTTTAAGGTAAAACGGATGTCAACATCCATTTTGCTTAAACGGATGTTGACATCCGTTGAAGGATGTCGGTTACGTCTTTTAGGATTTGTTTTATCAGTTTATTCTTTATTTTGGAAATATTTTAATAATTTAATTTAAATGTTTTGATTTATTATTTTTGAATATATTTTTAATGTATTTTAATAATGTAAAGAAAATGAAGAAGAAAGAAATGGAGGAGGAGAAGTGAAACGAATAAGACAAATGGAGTTGCAGAGTAAAACGAGGAAATGAGAGATGGAAAGATTGGGTGTAGGGAGTAAAGTAGGAGAACTAGGTTTGAAATAAATTAAAATAGTAAAAATAAAAAATTTTAATTTTAATCTGAGGATATAATTGGAATTAAAAAAATTTGGGAAGGTAGAGGGAAAAAGGTGTGGTGGTGAAGACAGCAACACCCTACTGTATTTGATTTGTAATTAAATTGTGAGTATGAACAGCTTTTACTTCTTTTTCTTTTAATTGCATTTTTTTTTCTTTTTATAGCAAAGTTGTTTGATGAATATAAAAAAAATATGCCGTACATATTAAATACGATTTTTGTATTTTATAAAAAAATTAAAAGATTGAAATAATTGTAAAACGTATTTAAGAAAAAAAGTCCTATTTTTGAAGATGGACTTTACAATTTAATAATCTTTTTGATATTTAACCATTCTAGTAACTTTCCTAGAAATTACGTATGCAAATTTTGCTCATTTTTTTCTCCATTCCAAGAAAAGCATCTCCCTACCACCCATTTATTAATATATTAGTATTATTTCATATATATAAAAAACTATTAATTATATAGAGGATAGTTCTAGAACGGTCGGTGAGGTGGCACGGGAGAGATGATTTAAATTCCAGGTCACAGCGTTGCAGTGACAAAAAGCTTCCTAATTAAGCTACCTTTTCACTCCTTTCTTCTCCCTTTCATCAATCCATTGTGTGTTCTGTGTTTTGCCGATCATAACAGAACAACCATGGGAGGAGGCAATGGCCAGAAATCCAAGATGGCGCGTGAGAGAAACATGGAGAAAAATAAAGCTTCCAAAGGTATTCCTTCTTTTTTTCTCTTCAAATTCTCGTTGTTTCCTTCTCTCCTCTTAGATCTGTCTTTTTATTTTCTGATTCTGTAGGAAGCCAGTTAGAGGCGAACAAGAAGGCCATGAACATCCAGGTGCCTGCACCTTTCACCCCCACTCAATCCCATTCATTATATATATATTTTTTCTATTTACAATTCACTTTTCTAGTAGATACCATTATGATTATGATAAGCCTAAGGACTCTGGTTCTGCAAATTGTGACCCTAATTGCCTGACCTAATCATATCTGCTTATTCTACTCTAATTTATTTGTCCTCACTCTCTGAAATTTGTTTGTTACTTCTTATTCAAATTAAATAGCCGTCGCACTCTTTAACATATTCTTTTAAGAAGTAATAACATTTATTAAGAAAATGTGAAAACTTAGGAGAAAGGTTATTAAAGAAGAAACAAGACTCATAACATGTTTGGATTAGTCTCTGGAAGACATGACTTGAGTCTGGCGATGGGTCAAAATGGTTTCTTGCATTGACCATGATGCTTGGACGTGTTGGAAACACTTGGTTCAAAACTGTGAACTCAGTCTCATTGAAGCATTTGGAAGTAGCTTTGCATTACACTAAAATAAAGTCTTATATTTGTTCCAAATCCACCTGAGTTGAAGTTATGTTTGTCTGATGAAGGGTAAGACAAAACACGTTTTGCTAATTACATAACCAAAACAGTTTTAATTGCAAATTTCTGAACAACACTGTTAAAATCGGTTTTTATTTTTTATTTTTTATTATTATCTGTTGTCTAAACAAAAATAACATTCACTTTGCTTAAAATTGACTCTACAAAATTAATTCTACATGTGTATATCCAAACATGCACTTAAGTAGCTTTCTGATTTCTAATACATTTCAACAAGAGTATGCTCTTTTATAGACAAATTATTGACTCCGTTTACGTGCGTGATGACTTTTGTTCCTGTCTCTGTGGCTGGTGTTGTTGCTGGCTGTTGAAATTGATTAATCTCGGGGACAATGGATAACGAGTGCAGTGCAAGGTGTGCATGCAGACATTCATTTGTACCACTTCGGAGGTTAAGTGCCGGGAACATGCTGAAGCCAAGCATCCCAAGGCTGATGTCTATGCTTGTTTTCCTCATCTTAAAAAGTGACCATTACATTTTGTACAACATGCCTATGTAATACTGCGTTCACCAACCAACTATAGTTGGTTAATCAAACTATTCATAACATATTTCTCAAAGTTAATGTCAGATGTTAGCTAATTCCAAGTTAATCTGAGATTAAGATTATAAATGAGTTATTATGATTTTTCGTTGTCAAAGATTTCAATTGATTGTTTTTTCATTTATCTTCTTTGTGAATCTTTACTTTCAAGAGATGCTCACCAATCTTATTAATTTGGTTTGATGTCGGATCAAGTTAAAATTAAATATGAACTCGTCATCCACATCCAAATCAATCACACACTTATTTCCACTATGAATTTGTGTACTTGCTAGTTGTGGGTGGGAGATTGGCAGGGATGGGTAGGAATACCTCTTGGTTTTTCTTAAGGTTGTGTTTTTTTTTTGTGAAGATAAATTTGGAAGATAGTGAGGGGATTTGATAAAAATTTTGAGTATTTTTAGGTCTAACTGAGTGCACTCATAATGAAATCTTTGAGTGATTAGATTGATGTGACAAATTAAAAAATTAATAAATAAAAAAGTAATATTATGAAATTGTTTTTGAATGAGTTAAAATTATTATTTTTTAATTCTTATTTAATAATTTTGAAAAAAGTTAATAAAAAATATTTTTAAATAATATCTCTATTTTTTGAAAAGAAAAATTTAAATATTTAATACAAATGCAGAGAAAAAAACTATTTAAATCCATCTTTTTAAATCTGTGTTCTATTTAAAGTGAAATCTATTTAAAAAAACATAGTCTAAGTGAGTAAGAGTAGACTATTTTTTAACGAACATAGTATACGGTGTCTTAAATTTACATAATTGTGCCTTAAATTTACATAAATAGTACGGTTTTTGCTTAGGTTAAAATTCGAAAAAAAAAATCAGTAAGAGTATCTTCTCCCCAATTGTATAATTTGGGTTATTACAACTGTGTTTTGTTCTTGTTTTCGTTTTTTTTAATTAATAGAAAGAGAAGATTCATAGTTCCTTTCAATTAATATCTTATTTAACTTCTTGTAATTATATATATATATATATATATATATAATAAAAGTCTAACTGAGCATAAAATAGTTAATACTTGTAAACTTTAAATCCTCCAAAAGAATAAAGAACCTAAATAAGTGTTTTGTAACAGAGATTATTTAAGGTCAATTTGGTAAAAAAAAAAGAGAACGAAATGGTAAAAATAGGAATTATGAAAAAAAGTAAAATATAAAAAAATGAAAAGTGAATACAATTAATAGAGAATTAAAATTAAAATATGAAATAGATGTCCCTCTAATTTTACTTTATTTTCAATCAATTATTTTCCCTTTTATAAAAATTCCTCACATCTCATTAGATTTCTTTAGCCGTGGCAATCTTCTAATGAAAAGTAAACTCTTTAAGGCCCTTCTGATCACTTGTCAATACAACAATTCACAGCTTTTTCCTCCGTTTATTTTTCCGTAAATCACAAATAAAAAATTACCAATCTCACTTCTTATTTTGTACACATTTTATTCTACATAGTTTTCTTTTCAGACGCTGTTTGCATTGTGACCGATACATGCTATTTTTTTTCTTGATTAAATTTTCCTTCGAATACTTTAAAGAGTCAATAAAAAATCAAATTTAATAAACGAAGAATAAAAAACTACAATTCAAAGTAAATAATTTTAACATCAAGCTGCTTTTTTTTTTCTACTATTGCTTTATATTTTTATTTGACAAATTTGTCGTTTCTTCTTGTTCTTTTAGAGCCAAAAATATTCAGAATAATTCAAAACGTGAAGTCTTTTCATGTCCTGCTACATTTGAATTTTTTCTTTTTGTGAAGTGGCAGGTATAAATGATTTCTTTTACCACGACATATCAAAATGGTGTTTGTATAGATTCAAGATTCTTTTCACATGTGAATTCTTATTTTATTCAATTTTAAATCTCC